AAGAACAAAGACTCTTTGAGTAGGTAGATCGCTCGTAATCGCTTGCTCACAAACTAAAACCATTTTCACACCTCACACATTTAAAATAACTACTTTCAAAACACTTTATAAACATTCTTGAGGACTGATACAAGGGTTATTATAAAGCAAATTTCCTTACATTGGCATTTTCAAACACACTTTCCAAAACAAACACTTTCATCCAAATATTTTTCAAACAAACATTTTGTATACATTCTTAACGATACGAGAATCATTACAAAATTGACTTACTTAGGAATTTTTAAAATATTTGCAAACATACACAAACACAAAGAACTTCAAAGTGAGCTAGCAATTAAGAGCCTGTAGATAAATAGATATGAAAAGGGTGCTAACACTTTCCCTTTTCATAACCTACCCCCCAAACTCAAGAGAATTCTGAAATGTCTTTCCTGTTCTTTTCTCCCTTTCCTTTATTTGGATAAAAGAAAAGTCGATGGCCACTCTTGCTATCTGCAACATTTACAATAAAATGAAAAACCTAAAAGTCAGTTCTCCCATCGTATTACACTGTGCCTACCTTGCTCGGAGATATTCTACATTCTCTTCACACTCGTACTATGAAGAGGAGAGGAACTCTCATGTGTTGTATACCTCTATTATCCAGGTGGTTTATTTTGCACCTTCCTCGCTTGGTAATGAAGAATGAACAAAGTTTGAGGTGGTCACAAAGAATAATGCCACTTGCTCAAATAGACATCTACTGGTATTCCCGATCCCATGAGGATATCACTATCATTAATCGATGTGGGGAGTTCCCTAATGTTCCACTCCTTTGCATTAGGGGAGGTATTACTTACAACCCTTCTCCGGCTCTACGTCAATTTGGTTATGCTAGAAGAGATGATCCTCAAGGTTATCGTCAAAGGTTTATACATGCTTGGGGCATGGTAAGCAAGATTGATAGTAAGGCTTTAGGACAGAAAAACTCCATTCCTCTGGAGCCTTATCTTAAATGGGTACAAGCTCGAGCTCAAAACCTCATGATTCCATATCCAGATGTTCTATCGGTAATCATGGAGCCTATTGTCGAAGAAGACATTTCTCGCACCATCCTTCATCCAAACATGCCTACTAACCTTGAAGAATTTCAAAAGTCCTGGATTCAACTCAAGGAAGAACGGGATACCTTTGAGACTCAATTCAATGCAAGTGAAAGGAAAGTGCTGGAGCTCACCAAGCAACTTAATGAGGAGCAGAGTCTTAATACATACATCAACATAAAGAGGAAGCGTCCGTGGGAGACTTGAGTCTTAGGTGTTAGGAGTTTATATTGTTGTCACTTTGAGACCCTTTTGTTTTCATTGTAAGCCTAAGAGGAAATTGTAATTTTGAACTTACTAATAAAATATTTGTTTCTATTTCCTCTTGGATAGAAAATTTAAATCTCCTGGGGTCCTTAAAAACATTGCATTTACATATCATGCATCATTACATAATAGCTTTTTCATACAGGTTTCTCATTTTCTCGCTGTTTATTTAAGCAAAAAAATGGCCCTCGAACAAATTGTCAAGGATCTCTAGGCCCAGCATGCATAATTTCAAGAGACTCTTCTCAATCTGGCACAGGGGAAGAAAGATCTAATGGCGCTCGTCACCAAGAAAAAGAAGACTAAGAAGCTGGCGATCATCCTTAATATGGGGAGAAGGTTCAAAGGTCCTTCTCAACTAGTTCAAGTGGATGATGTTTCCTATGAGGAAGACGACAACCAGGAAGAAGATGGTAGAAGCATCTAGCATGAAGGAAGGAATAACCAGGGTTATGAGAATGTTCATGAATATGAAGACTACTCTGACGAACAGTACCCTCCTACAGATGACAAATACAAGCAGTTGGAAGACTGACTCAAAGCTATGGAAATCCAGAAGGTGCCTATATTGTATTTTGGAGAAGTAAGTCTGATTCCGGGGGTGGTCATCTCTCATAAGTTCAAGGTCCTCATGTTTGCTAAATATGATGGGGTCTCTTGTCCCAAACTTCACCTAAGGTCGTATGTTCGAAAGATCCGACCACATATTACTGACTGAAAATTGTGGGTCCATTTCTTTCAAGAGAGTTTGGCTAGCACTCAACTTGAATGGTTCTATCATCTCAAAGGAACCAACATTTACACCTGGGAAGACTTGGCTGTTGCTTTCTACAAGCAGTATCAATATAATCTTGACCTTGCATCGACCCGTGTGCAATTGTAAAACATGTCCATGGGCTTAAATGAAGGGTTCAACGAATACACACAAAAATGGAGGGATTTAGATGGAAAGGTACAACCTCCTTTGTATGAACAAGAGCTGGTAGATATGTTCATGTGAACTTTGACAAACCCATTATTTAACTTGTTGAATGGAAGCTCGTCGTCCGGTTTTGCGGAGCTAATTCTGACTTGGGAAAGAGTTGATAGTGGTATTAAGAGCGGGAAGATTTCAATGGCTACTTCTTCTAATGCAGTGAAGAAGCCATTCAGAGGTAAAAAAGAAGCCAATGTTGTCTATATCCAGAAGGGCCGTAGTAAAAGTGACCTCCATCAGTCTGTGGGAGCGATATTGATCTCTAATCTGGTGCCTATTCAACAGCAACAACAAGGAAACCGATTAAGGTCAGATGCCTCATTAAGGAAATTTACCAAGATCACCATGCCTTTATCTTAAGCATTGCAACATTTGTTAAAGGCTGACCTCATTTCACTACGGGATCCTCCTCGGAATCCCAACACATCCTCTCCAAAGTACAATCCAAATGCAAGGTGTTCCTATCATTCGAACAGTCCTGGGCACGACACCAAAAATTGCTGGACCCTGAAAAGAAAGATTCACGATATGATTGATAATAAGGATATTGATTTTGATCCTCCGAAGACTCCAAACATGATTATTGCACCTATCCCTAAGCATGACAAAGGCATAAGTTCTATTGAAGATGTTTTGTATGTTGCCTCCGTAAGTGATGTGGTTACTCCTCTCTCAACAATCAAGGATAATTTTCTACAAGCCGGTTTATTTCTGGGTTGTGTTAAAGAATGTTATTGCTATGCAGTCCAACCCAATGGCTACGAGTTACTAAAGGAAGGCGTTCAACACCTAATGGATGAACACGTAATTTTGATAGAGAAAGTTATGTATGTTGAGAATTTGTGCCAAGATTTGTCTGTCGTATCCGGTACTCCTTTCAGGATCACTTCCAAGGGTCCTGTAAGGATAACCGAGAATCCAAAAGTTGCTCCTTTAATCATTATAACACCTGGGCCCATCCCATATTCCTCAGAAAATGCTATTCCATGGAATTATGGGTCTGACGTCTATTACCACGACATTAAACAAGAGTTGTCTGATGAAGATGATGAAGAGGTTGATCCCAGCATTGTCAATATTATGGGGGCCAATAAAATTACTAGAAGTGGAAGGATTTTCTCCCCGGAACTCTCTTCACTTGTTCAAGTCACAGTTACCAAGTCAACTGTCGAGGCTCGGGGTAAAGAGCCAATGAAAGAGCCTGCCCAGACGGTTGCACCAAAAGAAAGTACAGTCAAGGAAACCTCTGGACAGGAGTTGGAAGAGGTTTTAAAAATCATCCGCAAGAGTAACTATAAAATTATTGAACAGCTGGGGAAGACCCCATCCAAAATCTCCATGTTATCTTTATTGTTGTGTTCTGAAGCCCATGCACGGGCTTTGGTAAAATTCCTGAAGATTGCTCATGTGCCGCAAGAAATTTTGACTGATCAATTTGAAAGTTATGTGGAGAGTTTAACAACTGATTATGGATTAGGCTTCTCCGATGCTGACCTGACTCTAGAGGGGAGAAATCATAATAGGGCCCTGTATGTCTCCATTGAATGCAGGGGCACTACGTTGGCTCATGTGTTAATTGATACTGGCTCTTCTCTGAATGTTCTGCTAAAAGGCGCTCTTGACAGACTGGATTGTGAGGGGGTTGTGCTGAAGCCCAGTAATATCATAGTTCAAGCCTTTGACGGGTCCAGAAGAATGGTGCATGGAGAAGTGGACTTCCCAATAAAAGTGGGTTTACAAATATTTGAGTCCACTTACTATGTAATGGACATCCGACCTGCTTATTCTTGTCTATTGGGACACCCCTGGATCCATGGGGAAGGTACTGTCACCTCACCCTTGCACCATATATTAAAGTATTCTATAAAAGGGAAGGTTGTTACTGTCTGCGGAGAAGAGGAGTACATGGTCAACCACCTGAATTCATTCTGGTACGTGGAGATGGACGGAGAATTTATCGAGACTCTCTGTCATACTTTTGAAGTGATTTCCCCTGCTGATACTAAAGATGTTTCTTCCATTCCAAAGACCATTAAAACTCCGCACAAGATGGCTTCCTTGAAAGATGTCAAGGCTACTATAGAATAAGGTGGTTGTACTATTTGGGGTTAGCTTCCTGATATCCCTTATAAATTTAACAAGTTTGGTTTGGGCTTTATTGCAGAAGGTCAAAGGGTTGTTCGTCACGCTCTAGCTATAAGACCTTCATTCTGCATCAACAATAACATAGTCAACGCCATAGAAGAATTTGATAGTGATTGTGACTTCGACAGCTGGATATTCCCTACCATTGGTGATGGACTTAACAATTGGAAAGAAAAATAAATTTTCCTTATCTCCTTTAGTCAGGAGTAATAGCTATATTAATTTCTTATTTCTTTTATAAGACTTTTGGTTATGTAATAAATAAGGACTTTAAACATTGTGTCTTACTCGGGGCATAATGGTTCATTTGTTAAGGGTTGATAATTCATAAACATTATTAATTCAATAAAAACATTGGAAGTTTTGCATGAAAATTTTGTTATCTTTATTTTTCTTTTATCTTATTGCATTTTCAAACAGCTATGTGTTCTTACACACACCCACACACTACATTGCAGATCCTCATCCGCTCTGGATTTCATTGATAACGATTCTGCTATTGCCACTTATGACTTTTAAAATCCGATCTACCAAGCTGAGGACGAAGGTGAGGAAGATTGTGAAATACCTGGAGAACTTTCCAGACTCTTAATACAAGAAGAAAAGGATATCCAACCACATGAAGAGCTGGTCGAAGTTGTAAACTTGGGTATTGATACAGACTGGAAAGAAGTCAAGATAGGAACCAACTTAGAGAGCAGTATCAAAAACAGATTAATCCAGATGTTGCATGAATATGTTGAGATCTTTACCTGGTCGTACGAAGACATTCCAGGGCTCGATACAAATATTGTGGTTCACCGTCTTCCAATGAAATAAGGTTGTGCTCTGATAAAGCAGAAGGTCTGTCACATGTGTCCTGAAATGTCAGAAAAGATCAAAGCTGAGGTTATGAAACAATTCAATGCCGATTTCTTAGCATTGACATCATATCCTCAATGGGTTACTAATATTGTTCTAGTACCAAAGAAGGATGGCAAGGTACGTATGTGTATATATTCACTATGCCAAACAAGGGATTAGACAGCGCTTTTTTAGGCCTTTAACAGCGCTTAAAAGCGTTGCTAAAACCTCCGCTGCTAAAGGTATAGACATCACTTTTTTTTCAATCACTTTAGACAGCGCTTGGTAAAAGCGCTGTCTATTACCCCCCTTTAGCAGCGCTTTTCCTCATTTTTTTTAATTTTTTTTTCAATCACTTTAGACAGCGCTTTTCATGAAAAGCGCTGTCTATTACCCCCCCTTTAGCAGCGCTTTTCCTCATTTTTTTTAATTTTTTTTTTGAATCACTTTAGACAGCGCTTTCATGAAAAGCGCAGTCTATTACCCCCCCTTTAGCAGCGCTTTTCCTTATTTTTTTTAAAAAAAAATTTTTCAATCACTTTAGACAGCGCTTTCATGAAAAGCGCTGTCTATTACCCCCCCCCTTTAGCAGCGCTTTTCCTTATTTTTTTTTTAAATTTAAGTTCAATTGCTATTCAACATTATTCATCATCATTCAAGTTCGCATTGTTAAGCTAAATTTCAAATACATTCATCATCATTCTATCAATGATACTTCAAGATCAAAGAAAGGAGTATGCAATTTGGAGAAGAAAGTTGGCTTGAATACTTGGAGTTTTTTACCATTAATTACAAAGTGTACAAAATGCAAGGACGCTCCAAATTCAAAGGCACCAATACATCAACGCAAGAAAAGTCATCCTTTACAAATTTCAAGGAAAATTATACAAAGATTTGGTTCTAGACCTAATTCTAAAAAAGTCTCTTCAAGTTTGCTTCAAGACCAAGCCTTTGGTCTCGATAACTTCATCCTTCATTCCCAGGATTCTTCATCTTCAAATTATCATCTTCAAGGCCAAGTATCAAAAACATCGTGATCTTTTAGTATGCAACTTTTATGCCACATCCAAATCCATTCATACCCTCCTTCAAGTTCTTTGCTTTTAGAAAACTGTGTATCTACCCATTGCTCTAGCCAGTACCTCCATCTTCCGTTCACTTTACTTCTTTCTGACTCTGCTGACCTCTGAGGGATTTGTGTAAATTAGTTCAACTTGAGAAACTGGTTGGAAAAAGTAATGAAACAGTTTATGACATGAAAGAGTTAGGAGCTTACTCTATGATTAAATGTGTATTCTTTTATTCTTTCTCTCTTAATAATGCCTTCTTTCTTGATCATGCAACAGGCATCTACCTCTTCCTTCAATAAAGTGTTGTCATCCCACTTTCTTTCGCTGTTTGAGTCCATCTAAAAATTTGAAAACTCATGTTTCAAATCATACAAATTTATGTTTGGAATGTGAATTGAGGTAATGAAATAATGTAACATGCCATGCTTTTCTCACCCTAATGATCTTGTCTTTAGAATAAAGAGTCTCTTCATCTTCAACAGAATCCCATCTTCCTTCAACCATTTGGAGTCTCCTTGCACATATCTTTGATTGAATACTTACAATGGACTGCAAGCTCTTGAGAGTACTCATAGCTTGGCGTCTCACTGCTCGCCCACGAATAATCGCTTGAAGTTTTACTATTCCTTTCAATGCCCTCAAAGCCTTCTTTGCCTGTAATGAACATGACAATACTATCACTTGTCCTTGATTTCTTCTACATATTAATTTCCATTACATCTTACTCTTACAGTTTTCTCTATTTGTTTAACTAGAGTTGAATTTGAGAAATCACTAGATCCTTAAGGGGTTTTTGATGTCTGAGTATTGGTATGGAGGACGCATTAGCCACATTTGATGGTTACTTGCAACCTTGATATATAACCTTCTTCTAATAAGATTCATAATTAAATTACTTGTACTGATTTTAAAAGACTATTCTAGATCCAAAAACTTTAGCAGTAAAGATTAAGTAACAAGACAGATTGGAGAAACTCACAAGGTAGCCCCTAAAAGCAGTTTGAATTTTGATGGCTGCAAATTCTTGAATCTCTCTCTGGCACAGATATATTGATCGAGGAACACCATTCCTAGTTTCAACAGGTTCAGATTCTTCTGAGCCATCTTGATCTTTTTGATAACCAGATTGTGAAACTTCATTAAGCATAACAACTTGAGAATGCTTGGTTTTTCCCTCCTCCTCAGCTTCATTTGATGTTGTTGCTGGAGCTGTAATTGAAGGTAACTTCTTGGTTTTTAGCTTTCCAAATATCCATTTCCTTCTTTTCTCTTTCTGAAATCAATTTTCTTCTTTCTCATTAGAATAAACAGAATCTTACAACAAAAAAAAAGAATTTAGTTTTTAAAAAGTAAAATTACCTTCTCTTGTGTGGAATGTGTGTCCCATATGAAAAGGCTTTTCACCAGATTAAACCAGCTCTTGTTCTTCTTGGCCATTTAACAATATCAAAAGACTCAACTTCAATATCTGTGATCTGAAACAATGAACCATAACATAAGCTTTCAATAATTTATTTAAGTAATGTGAATGCACAACTCAAAATTAGACTTTTCCAAAAAAGATTCAACAATTTTCTGAACTTGTCATAAAAATTTATTCTTAGTTTGAATAACTAGTCAAAGCAAATGCCAAAAATAATTACATGACTCTCAAGTTGAATAAAAATAATAATAATATGCAGATTCAGATTGAGATTCAAGCTAATCACTTACTCATTTGCTTAGAAGTTAGTAACAAAAAGACAAGAATCACCGTTTTGCAAGAGGTTGGTGCATGGGAACAAAGGGAACTACAGTCATTAAATTCAGATTGAATAGCCTTGAAACCAGCAAACATTCTTAATAATACTTCCAGTTACCAAAATCATGAATATAGATAGATTTCATCACTAGAAAAAAGTGCACACTTACATACTCTGATCTCTTCATTCATCAAAGAAAAATAGATATGGATATACAGCCAGAAAGAATACAATTGTTTTTATATATTTGTTTATTAGGAATGGATCCTCTATATTTCTCCTTTCTATAGTTTTGGGGTGTATAGGGGAAATTTCAAGCTCGTCTAATATCACATTATCATGCTTTATTCAATAATCCCAATACCATAGTAATGGAGAAAATTGATAGAATGAGAAATGCAGAAGATCCATTCCTTTATTTACTGGGGATATACAGTACACACTACAAAAGTCCGTTATGAAGCCTTGACTTCAAAATAGAACGTAATACTTTTCTAATTTACCATGTGATCTCTAGGATTCGGACGCCTTTGCAATTCTAACTCATCAAACTCAAAGATAGGCAGCAACTCCACTGCATTGATACCAAGCTCTAGAAGATATGGGATCTTATATGCAAGCAACAAAATGAGTTTAAATAAAGACATACAATAAATAGTAAGCACCAATCATATAGTAATTAATAAACAGCACAAATATAGTTCCTAAAGTTGGAGGTGGCATGCAACCACTAAACATCGATACACCTTATTAAGTTGAATACCCAATGATAGCAAAGATGTTACCTTCTCAATCACACCAAGATAGCTTCCACGAATGTTGTTATCCAATCCACTAGATTCATCCATTGTAAATGCACGGACATTCATCTCATATATAACAAGATCTTTCTGCATTTGCAGCAAGAGCATAATAAATCCATAAATTGGACTTACTTCATCTAGAAACATACAATACGCAGTCATATTCTCATCAACTAAAAAGGAAAAGAAACACTAGAGATCAACATCAAGGTAGAATACAAAATCTACATATAGTTTTAAGCATAAAGCAATTTAGATGAAGCCTTGGTTTAGAGAAAAGATTTTATGAATGTCATTTTCGAACAACTATCATTTATGCAGGCTGAATACCTCGGCAATATTTGGAAGCTTATAATTCTCTCCCCAGTCAAAAGGCAAGCTGTCAAACTCATATGTGCCCAGAAACTTAGAGGTGAAAACAATATATTAACTAAACATTGCTCCCAGGAAGATCCTACACAATGAGAGGTGAAAACAATATATTAATTAAATGTATAAATGTGCATTTTGAATAGCTGTTCAGTGTTTGAATTAGAGAGAACCTGAGAATTCATTTTATTGATTGATGACCAAACGAATTCAATCACAAGCACAATTGATATATTAACTATCAATTGATATATTAATAAGTTTTGCAGTATAGACAAGCACTTCTATCATTAATAATTAATAGCATATGAGAAACAAACCTACTTCATTTGAATCAACACATGTCTCAAAACTGTCTTGCAGATTTTAACTTGGGTCCTCACGTGCCTCCACATGATTACCATTTTTTGACCCTTCTACTTCTGGTTCAACCTGCAACACATACTCTACACCAGCTGATTTGGCTTCTGAACCAGAATCATGTGATTAGGTTTCACAGTCAGCTTTGTTTACAGTTAGCTTATATCTGATAATATCTTCTTTGGGTTTCCTTTAAGTCATTATCATCAATCTTATATTGACACTGCACAGAAGCACTGTTGAGGCACCTAAAGAGTTGTTAATATGATAATCTGCATAGAAGCCTTCAAGACAACCACCTTGAGCAGACATAAATTTAATTAAAGGTTGTAGCAGAAGCTCTTGAAAGTAGTTATGAAGGATTTCAAGCCATTTCTAAGGAACAACATAACAAATGGACGAATTCATCCCAATTTTTCCCCTGCAAATCATCACAAGGAATCATAAATATCATAAACTATGTCTATGCATAAGCATAAAATTAGCATAACCTCATAGAAACCACTACGAATATAACATACTGAAGTGAACATAAACTTTGAAATTAAGACAACAGCATTGACCGCAACGTGTTGAACAAATTGATTTTCAACAGCTAACAAATTCACCTGCCACATAAAAATACAAATCATATTCAAAAGAAATTCAGCATCACATGCACATCAAAACAGAAGGGAAAAGAGGAAAGAAACCAGTTGAAACATTTTGTCGAACACGTGATGCGCGAGTTGCAAAACGGTAGTAACAGCGACAATTATCCGTCAATTCACACTCCGCAAATGATCACTAATCAATAATGCCAACAGTACAACAACTTAGCACATGAAGTGAAAGAATTGAAGCAAAAAGAATCAAGAGATACGGTTGAGGAGTTTTATCGAACACCTTGCGGGCAAGACCAAAAGCTGTATTTTTCGGCATTTTTAATATGCTAGCATTCCTCCATTTAGCTTCATAATATTGTATGCTAGTGTTAACTTAATTTAGAATCAATACCGGGGGGGAAAAAACAGAGAAACCAATTGAAATTGTTATCAACATGAACCGTGAAGCTTACCGTAAAAATGCACCAAACCATAAACATTCTGAAACAAAGAAGTTCTGAACCAAAATCATAACGCGATTGAATCAATGCAGTGAGATTACAAATCAAGTTTGGGTTTGCGAAAAAGCTGCGAATTGGATAAGCAGATGATGAAGGAGCGTGAATCGGTTGTGAGTTGAAAAAAGAAAGATGGAACGGTTGAATGAAGTTGTTTTGGTGGAAGCTTGTTTATGGTGAGGAGGGGAAATGATGGCGAGTTGCAGGGGAAAAGCGGTGTTGGATGACTACCGGAGGGAGTTATATCGGAGAGATGACGGAACAAAGGGAGTAATGGAGTGAGACAGGGGGAGTTTGGGAGGAGACGAATGGAGAAGAAGATGAACAGTGATATGGGTTTAATTTTGTGTTTTTGGAAATCTGATTTAGGGGTTAGGGGTTTAGAAATAAATTAACAAACCAAAGGAAGCGCTTTCAAGAAGCGCTGCTAAAGGTACCCCACTTTAGCAGCGCTTTAGGCTTACCCCACCTTTAGCAGCGCATTTAGATTTACACAAAGCCAACGCTTTCAAGAAGCGCTGCTAAAGGTACCCCCCCTTTAGCAGCGCTTTAGGTTTACCCCTTTAGCAGCGCTTTTATTAATTTTTTAATTTTCATTTTTTTTAAAACCCTATAGCAGCGCTTAGGGAGAAAAAGTGCTGCCTTTGATAAGGCCTATAGCAGCACTTTTAATAAGCGTTGTCTAAAGTTTTTTTTTTGGATACCTACAGCAGCGCTTTTGCATAAGCGTTGTCTATGTAGCGGTGCCAAAACTCGTTTTTGGCGTAGTGATTACAGGGATCTGAACAGGGCGAGCCCTAAAGATGACTTCCCACTGCCACATATTGATGTTTTGGTCGACAACACCGCTCACCACAAGGTATTCTCTTTCATGGATGGTTTCTCAGGTTATAATCAGATCAAGATGGTGCCTGAAGACATGAAGAAAACTACCTTTGTTACACAATGGGGCACTTTTTGTTACAAGGTCATGCCTTTTGGGTTAAAGAATGTCAGGGAAACTTATCGAGGTGCTGTGGTAGCCTTATTTCATGACATGATTCTGTTGTACCCCAAACTTTTCCCTCCATCTCTCAAAGATTTTTCTCACAAAATTTCCACTAAGTCAAGGCTGCACAAAATTTGCTTTGATTGAGCACCTAACCTCCTTTAAGCCTGCCTCAAATTTCAAAGCTTCGATTGAAGCCTTGCCCTTTTGCTTGTTTGTTGTATACAAGCTTCGATTGAAGCCTTGCCCTTTTGCTTGTTTGTTGTATACAAGCTTCGACTGGGCATTTATTTCCTTTGAAACAGCCTCCTTCGATTCAAAAGGGAAGGGCCTCCAATTGGTGTCCTTCAATTCAGAAGGTGTTGGCAATGGCCTCCTGCATGTTTCGTTCGATTCAGAAGACAAATGCCATCTCTACGCTTGCCTTCAATTCACAAGGCAGGAAATTCCTTCATGCCAACAGGCACAAGGCAATGGCCTCCTGCATACATCCTTCGATTGCACCATTGGCTTTACATGCTTGCTTGATTCAAAATGCAATGGTTACCTGCATGCCTGCTTCGATTGAGCAAGGGCCTATGCAGGTTTTTCTTGATGACTACCTGCATGCACACTTGATTCCTGCTTCGATTGGGCATTTGTTTTCTTTGGAGAAGGCTTGATTCCTGCTTTTATTGGGCATTTTTTTTCTTTGGAGCAAGCTTGATTCCTGCTTCGACTGGGCAATATCTCCCTTGGAATGTTTCTTTCAACACGCATAAGATTTACTTTGTTGGCCCATTCGAAGTAATGGAAAATGATGCACACAAGTGATGCATGTGATCCCTTCAAAAGAGCACACACATTGGTTCAAAATGAAGGATACAAGTATTGTTGGCCTTTCGAAAGAGATACATAATGCAAGTTTATCTTATGATGAGTCTTGGTTCTACATATGTCCAGGCCCAGGCTTCCTGTGCAAATGGAATTCGAAGGAAGTGACGAAGGAGGCTTCGATTGACATAATAAAGTTCTCACTTGAAGGTATCTGAATTAAACAGCTAAGGCAAATATATGGGCCCAATATAAAGCCA